TCACAATTGGAAACAAAAATTTAGACCACAACGTGTGATGTAGCAGCCGCTCGAAAACGATCAGCCGAGTGCAGCACCCGTGTGGGCAAGAGCTCGCGAAATTCCTCCAAGCAGCGGATAATTCAGGGTTGTTTGGTGTCCAGTGTGTGAACACGCAAACAGATATTGACAGAGAGTGCCTCTGACCCCCACCATTCATAATTGGAAACAAAAATTTAGACCACAACGTGTGATGCAGCGGCCGCTCGAAAACGATCAGCCGAGTGCAGCACCCGTGTGGGCAAGAGCTCGCGAAATTCCTCCAAGCAGCGGATAATTCAGGGTTGTTTGGTGTCCAGTGTGTGAACACGCAAACAGATATTGACAGAGGGTACCTCTGACCCCCATCATTCATAATTGGAAACAAAAATTTAGACCACAACGTGTGATGCAGCAGCCGCTCGAAAACGATCAGCCGAGTGCAGCACCCGTGTGGGCAAGAGCTCGCGAAATTCCTCCAAGCAGCGGATAATTCAGGGTTGTTTGGTGTCCAGTGTGTGAACACGCAAACAGATATTGACAGAGAGTACCTCTGACCCCCACCATTCATAATTGGAAACAAAAATTTAGACCACGACGTGTGATGCAGCAGCCGCTCGAAAACGATCAGCCGAGTGCAGCACCCGTGTGGGCAAGAGCTCGCGAAATTCCTCCAAGCAGCGGATAATTCAGGGTTGTTTGGTGTCCAGTGTGTGAACACGCAAACAGATATTGACAGAGGGTACCTCTGACCCCCATCATTCATAATTGGAAACAAAAATTTAGACCACAACGTGTGATGCAGCGGCCGCTCGAAAACGATCAGCCGAGTGCAGCACCCGTGTGGGCAAGAGCTCGCGAAATTCCCCCAAGCAGCGGATAACTCAGGGTTGTTTGGTGTCCAGTGTGTGAACACGCAAACAGATAGTGACAGAGAGTGCCTCTGACCCCCACCATTCATAATTGGAAACAAAAATTTAGACCACGACGTGTGATGCAGCAGCCGCTCGAAAACGATCAGCCGAGTGCAGCACCCGTGTGGGCAAGAGCTCGCGAAATTCCTCCAAGCAGCGGATAATTCAGGGTTGTTTGGTGTCCAGTGTGTGAACACGCAAACAGATAGTGACAGAGAGTGCCTCTGACTCCCACCATTCACAATCGGAAACAAAAATTTGGACCACAACATGTGATGCAGCAGCCGCTCGAAAACGATCAGCCGAGTGCAGCACCCGTGTGGGCAAGAGCTCGCGAAATTCCTCCAAGCAGCGGATAATTCAGGGTTGTTTGGTGTCCAGTGTGTGAACACGCAAACAGATATTGATAGAGAGCGTCTCTGACCCCCCACCATTCATAATTGGGAACAAAAATTTGGACCACTATGTGGTGGTGCAATGGTCGCTCTTTTTGGTGAGGGATTGACGTCACCACCGGCACAGAGGGTTCCTTGTGATCTGCAGGGCGCGTGCGCAGGCCTGACGAAGAGAGGGCAGGAGTCGCATCGCGCCTGTGCGCGGTGCCGCCACTCGGGGACCAATGTCCGGGTCAACACCAGGAAGAGAGTCCTCACCACACCTACAAGCGCCTGTCATGCGGTGTGCGCGCCTTCCTTTTCCTCCCGCACTTCCTTTCAGTACAGTCGCTTCACTGCGGTGAGGAAATTCACTTGCCAGGCATTGACGCAGTCCTGCGGGAGGGATCGTGCCATGACGGCATCAGCGTCCGCTGTCACGTTGCGTGAAATTCCGCGGTGTCATGGGGAAAATGTGGATTCACCTGTGCGATCTCGATCCGCCTGTGAAAGCGGCACGGCACAAATCTCCTCGCCGACGTCGTCGTGCACCTCCAGCGGGCCAAGGCGGAGTGATTCCATCGCCGAGAGGGAGTCTGTGGCGACAGGAACTCGTGTGGGCGATTGGGATGCTGCTGCCAGGCGGGGAACTGGGAAGTGTCTGTGGCCATGCTGAGTGGTGAGGCCCCACAGGCAGCGCAGCGGTCCCAGAAATGTGCGGGCCGCTTCGACGGCCGATCGTCTGACACCGTCCGGAGCGTCTTGGGCGTGCCGTGGCTGGAAGACGCCCACCCCGTCGCAGCTCACAGTGTCGCAGACAAAAATCCGGTGCTCAGCATGAGAGGCGCGGGTGTGGTGCGGGAAGATCCTCATGTGGCTGCGGACGCGTCGCATTCCGTCAAGTACGGCATCTCTCGGAAGCGGAATACTCGTCACTGCATTCCCATGTATCGACTGCGGCATGGTTTTCGAGCAGATTGCGCCACGCTCTTCCTCAATATACCAAAGAAGTGTGAGGCGTTCGTGCTGTGTGGGTTCGAGGAACCCAACAATCCTCCGCAGCGGTGCTAGATTAGCTGCCAGGTGGGCAGAAGTATCCTTCGTTGATGCGCGTGGGCCAAGAGATGCCGTACAGCTGTCGCGGTGCCGCACTTCCAGGCCGTGGAGGTAAGTGGAGTCCGGACACGGTGCGGTCGCCTCGCCACCGTGGTGCAACGCACTGTGAACGCACCCAACGAGAAAGGACCGCATGGTGTGCTGGGACGCACCAGCCTCTGCACCCAGCCGCAGCTGACAGCAGAGGGGCACGAACTGCTGTGCAGCGGCGGTGACGTGCAAACCAAAATTGAGAAGTCGATCAATCGCATTGCCGAGCAGACGCACAGGGTGCGACTTGACGCGTGGGTTCCCACCGCCCAGACGATAGTCGGCCGTATCCTCGTCAGACCGTCAGCGTGAAACGATGCAGAACAGAGCGGCCCCGCTCCTGTCCGCGCTGATTATCGGGCTGTGCTCGGCAGCCCATGTGGCCACAACGGGCACGGCAAATGGCATTGCCGCAGCACATGCACGGCCGTCCGCACCCAAGGCAACCAGCGTGCGGTCTTCAACGTGCATGAACGCCGACGCAAAGTGAATGCCGTCCAGGCGGCGCAGCAGACCATCCACGTGGCGGTGAAGGAGCTGGGGCCGCACGACGCTGCATTGGGCTGCCGTCCTCCGTCCCTGCAGTGTGTGATGGCAAATGGTGGTCCGACTCCATGTAAACGGGTGGATGTCCAGTGGGAGACACGCAGTACGCGTTGCGCAGTCACGTCGGGAAACGAGACGATGCGGCCGCTAATCCGCGTTGCCTGTGCCGGGTCGTCGGACAGCTCACACTCCATGCCGCTTGGGGTGGTGGCGAGGTCCTCTCCTGCCGTCGTTGACTTAAGCGACCGTCACGCAGCTCATGGTGTGAATTCAGGTAGCACGCAATAGGCGCTGCAGAACCAAGGCGACAAATGGTGCTCGCAAAGTGAGCAGCGTGAGCGATTGCCAGAAAAAGGCTGCAGAGGTTCACCACGTACATGCTGGGGCTGGCCGGTGGGCGCACGCGGAAGGCAGTGGTCTCCACGCAGTTGTTGCCAGCAGCGACAGGCGCTCGCACGGCAAGGTCTGGCGCACCAAGAAGGCCACGCCACCGGCACGCCCACTGCACGTCTGGCGGAAGTCACCGCAGCCAACGAGCCTCGTCGCTGGGCACTCTCGTGCCTGCACTCCTGCAGAAGAACCATGTCGGGCTGTTGCTGCGCCAGTCGAGCAGCAAGGGCAATCCTGAAGGGCGAAGGGCTGGAAGTTCCGAGCTGCCAGATAACTACGAGGCCATCCTCATCGGGGCTGCGGCTCCTGCGGACACCACCGCAGCGGGTGATGCCGACGGAGTGACCGCAATGAAACGACTGTGCGGTTCTGTCAGTCGGGCTGCAGGCAAACCGTCTCGCCGCTCCACAAACGACAGTGCGCGGGACCCTCTCGAGGGGTGACGCCGTCGTGGTCCCCATCACGCTCGCAGCAATGCCCTGCCGCAACACTCCCACAGAGAGACAAGGAAGAGTGCGTGGATGTGTGTCGAGAACACAGCGACTGTCATCGTCAGAGAAGGCCATCGTGGCACCGTCCGTCACGCGCCAGCACATACTAAGCAACACAGTTACCCGGCAAAGCAAAAACAACGAGGAGAGGAGAATGACCCCAAGAGCTGGCAGCACCTTCACGCATGGCGGGCATCGTGAAGCCGCGTCAGCCGGCCCCAAGCGGAATGCAAAAAGGCGTCACGCCATCGCCAACAAATTCTTTCAGAGCACCATGCGACTAGTTATGTCTGTGTGCGTGTGCGCTGGAGAAGCAGAAAAAAAAAAAGAAGCACAGGGAGGACATCATCAGCGCAGCAAGAGGCACAGCTGGATGGCAGCGATGCATGCGGTACAGCCCCAACCTCTCCAATCACGCACGGTGGCAGCACACACACCCATCCACAAAAACAAAAAGAAAAAAACAAAACAAAAAACACGGCGGCAGGGTGCGGCTGTGCGTGTGTGGCGCTGCGGGTGTCTGCCAGCCCTGGCCGCAATAAAAAAAAAAACAAGAGGGAAAGAAATGTGTGCTCCGCCCCACAGGCCCTCGTCGCACGCCCACACGTCACGGCTCCCTCAGCGCGCCGTTCGTCGCGGCCCCTCCTCATGCGTGCAGCAGGCGAGGCGCACAGGGCCGTCGTCATGAGCGTGTCGGTGGGTGTGCGAGTGGAGCAGTTGGGCGGGAAACACACGGCACCCCTCACAGGAAGAGTGCAGCAGGAAACGATTAAAAGAGCAGAAAAGTAGAAAAGAAAAAACGCGTCCATAGTGATTGCCCCCAAAAGCAAAAAAGAAGAAAAGGGATGGGGGAGTTAGTAATTAAAAAACAAAAGACTGAAAAACAGAAAAGAATTAAAAAAAAGACACACACTCGCACAACACAATAAAGAAAAAATGGAAAAAAAAAAAAAAAAGCACAACTAAAAACAATAATAAAAAAGGGAGAAAAAACTTAAAAACGCGCAACAAAGCAAACAGGGGGGAAAGCAATGTTATTTAGGAAGAGAAATTCATTGCCAGGTGTGTGTGTGTTGATGCAGGGGAGGTCGCAAGTGTCCCACGCGGCTGCCAGTCACACCTCACAGTGCCGCAAACCCCCACAGTCCCAACAGCAGAAGAAACAGCGATGGCACCATTCCGCTCTCACGCATGGTGCCAGCGTCGGTGTTATTCCCCTGCGACACATTTCCAAGGCTGCTGCTGAGTGCCGTAGCATTGACTTCCTTGTCCTGTGCATGGATCCCCTGGCCATTCGTTCTTCCCGCCGTCTCCCCATTCGCACCACTGCTCCCCATCAACGATTCCTGTTTTGTCTGCTGTGATCCGCCAGGAGTAGACTGAATCGCTGTACCGGCAATAGGCGTATTCACCGGAGATGGAATAGGGGCTTTATTCGGCTTTAGCGCAGTAATCTCCGAGAAAGTCAACGGGCGGTTGTACAGCAGGACGTTCGTCACCGTCACAGACACGCCTTCTTGGCCTCTTTTGTTGTCTGCGCTGCCTCCATCCCCTCCAATGTAGAAGTGTGAGATTCCTTTCGAATCCTTATTTTCCAGTGCACATGGCGCTTCTCCCACACGCTGACCATCAACGTACGCGGAGCCATGGGTACCGTCCTGTAGCATAAGCACCAGCTGGTGTGTAGTGCCTGGCTCCCAACCGCGGCTGTGCTCCGTCGTCGGTTCTCCATCGCACAGCAATTCCCACTTCTTCTCTTTTTTGTACGACAACTCCATAAGTTTGTCTTCACCGTCCAGACGCACACCCACCACTGGAATAGCACCATCCTGCGTCGGCTCACCGTCGATGGACACCGTCGCCACAAGAGTGAAGTTGTAGTTCGCAAAGTGGTACAGCTGATTCTCCCCCTGCTCGCCAACGGGCCACTCCGCCCACGCTCCCTGGAACTTCACGCCCTTCTTTGAATCTACTGTGGCCGCTGCTGCACCGCCATCATTCCCCTTTACTGTGGCGTTCACCCCGAGGTACTCGTCCCTCCATGTCTTATCAAAGAAGTTGCCGGACAAAAAGCCAACCAGCCCAGCCGTGACCTTCACAGCGCTGCAGGCATCGTCAGGTGAGGCACTCTTCTCAGGACTCCCAGAAGGGCACAGTTTGGAGACAATTTCGTCCACTTCCTTCCACGTCGCCAGCACCTCCTTCACCCGCTGCAGCTGCTCAGTCAGAAGCACAGAGACCATACCGAGTGATGATCTGCCATTGCCCCTCTTCTTCTCGTACAGTGCAATCAACTTCTCCTCATTATTATCTTTACCACTTTTGTACAACAGGGAGCTGGCGGCAACGTCCTCTTCATCTTCTCCGGATATCGGCCCAATATCAGCAATGTGCGTGTTGTCCGTCAGCCAAAGACGGAGTTCACCGTTTCGATTATCTTCTCCGTTCCTAATCGAATACACTGGCAGACTGACAAGCATCACGTCCCTGTCCTCAAACTTCGCTGTGATGAACCCGCTCTTAACGTCCCTCCCGCGTCTCTTACCTTCCTTTTGGTCGCTGCCCCACACGCGCGAGAGTGTCCCAAGTGCCTCCGTCCACGAATCCCCCTTGTCGCCGGACTCGTAAACCCTGCGGCGGCCATCATCACACACTGTCATCATCATGAGTTTGTCCTTCTCCCACTCCACGACGGAGGGATCACCGCAGCCACCGTCAGACATCCCCTTCGACAGTTTCCAAATTTTATTATCCCTCGAGGAATATAGGATCAGCGAAACGGTCTTTCCATCATCTTCAGTGCCCCCATTCTCCTGCTTTGTACCTTCCAATGGAAACACAAGCGTACCGTCACCCATCTTTACACCCGATCCACCGCCGCCAATCACGGAATTCAACGATTTGAGTTGTTCGTCATTGGAATCCCACGGGATAACGTAAGTATCATTCCAAAAAATTCTGTTTTTACTGCCTTCAGCTCTGACGTTCCCCTTCACCAGCAAAAGTTCAAATGGAGTCGCCTCAGACGCAACCGATTCACAATTGCGGGCATTTTCATTTATGTAGATTCCAGCAAGCATGTAAATATCACTTCCCCTCGCGACTGTTGTTGGTCGGAACACAAGTACTCCCGTCCCGCTTTGGGAAGCAGCCGCAACTACTGTTTGGGAGGGGCATTCCCCTCCGTCAGTAGAACATTCCTCCAGTACTTCCGTCTTCACCTGAGTTGTTTCCAGGGCTTTTGGTGTTCCATCACTCAACTTTAGGAGCTCCGAGGCAATGCCAGTAAATGTGTATTCACCCTTCTTGTACTGCGCCTCGGCAACGGCAAACACGTCACCCTCCATCTCAACAAGACTGGGAACACGGAGCAAACTCACTGTTTCATCACCTTTCAAATCTCTCCAAACAAAACGTTTACCCTTTGAAGATTCCGGACATGACGCCGTCTCATCTTCCGCAGCTGCACCAGTGCCGCAGCACATCATCATAAAAAGAAGGAGCACCACCGCAGAGTAAAAGAGATGCCGCGACATGTTGGGCCTCTGCGGCTCACTCCCTCTTCCTTCCCTCCTCCTTCCGCTGGATCCGGTCACGCGGCGACAGTTGTGTTTGTTGGGTGCCTTGACAGCAGCAACACGTGAGAGCATACAAGTATGTGTGTGTGTGGGCGGTTTGTGTGCTGTTGCCGGTCCTTCAGTACCCTCGAATTTCACGGTAGCGTTTGGTCGTAAATTCCTTCTTGTTTCAGTAAAAAAAAAAAAAAAAAAATACCGAATAAAAGAGGTAAAACAGTAAGCACCGTCACCCATCCACAGCGAGTGGCACCATCATCCCCACCATAGTCACTCCCAACAGCAACAACTCACGCACACATACACACGGAACGAGAAGGAAGAACAGTGCACCGGGAACACACAACAAATGCCAGCAGCAGCAGGAGCCACGGCGGGTGCGTAATTATTCGTCACGCATCAGCACGCACTGAGCAACGCCCACAAAAAAAACAATCAGCAGGATCCAAAAGGATCCAACCGCCCTTCGCAGCACCTACGCGCTGCCGCCAGTCCGTTTGCTGCTGTCTCATCAATCGCACCCGCTCTGCCACCGCACGTGCGGCACCACCCCGCACAGCCAGACAATACCGCACCGAATAATCCGCAGCTGGAGAGACACGTCGGCACGCCCAGCTGCTCGGCGGGAATCCATACACACTTATCCCAGGCACTATCAATGCCACGTCACCCATGGCAGCACTCCAAGAAAGTCACGCTCGCTGCACGGTAACAAAACAAGAAGCGGTGTTGCGTCATTCCTCTTCCCAAGTGCTGCCACAGCCAAAATCCTGTGCGTGCGTGCGTTCCCAGCGTTCACGCCGCTCCACAGCGTGTGCAACACGGTCTGAGTGTGTGTGCATGTGCCTTTGTGTTTGGCAGCGCCTAAACTTGCGGAGCGGCTGTGCGGATCAAGAGAGTCAGAAGAAAGCAACGGCAGAGAGAGGCAGATAGCACACACGCACAAATTCCTCATATCATAAACACACACGCACACGCAGCCCGCGGAATGGGTGCTCTCAACCACAAAACAATGAAAAAACAAAACAAAAAGCCGAAGCGTGGGACGACCAGCGCACACACTCTCATTGCTCCCGTAAAGCAAAACACACACACAGGGAGAGAGAGAGAGAGGTCGCCCACTCAATGCAATGGAAACAAAAACAGTTACGGTGCTCCGCCCATGCAGCCAGGCATGACGGCAGCGGTGCGTGTCGTGCAAAAGAGGGCACCAACGGGCCTGCATGGGTGTGCATGCATATATACAATGGGCACATTATGTGTGTGCTTCGTGGGATGAGGTGAGGGCGAGAGTCCATGCAAGGGGACACACACAGAGAGAGTGAGTGAAGGACGAGTGTGTGTGCGGGCGGTGCACGGCTCTCTCTCCCTCACTCTCACGCGGCCACCACCGCAGCAGCAGCCGCACACGCAACAACAAGAAGAGGCAAAAGAGGGGAGGTGGCGTGGGAGACCGCGGTGCTGCCGTCACTTTCGCCATGCATCGCCGTGTCATTTCTTTTGGTGATGGTGACATTTTCTGTTGGGGATTCTTCTCCTGCTTAAACTTCCGTCGTTGTTGGTGATAGTTCGGCGGAGGATGATCGTGGAGTTGTTTGTGTTACTGGTGGGTTGCTGGTATTAGGTGTTGGGCTTGTAGTGGCTTTCAGACCGACGTCTCCCTTCTCCTTCTCCTTTTCAACTGCATCTCCACTATCATCTGGAATTTCTGCGGCTTCTTCTGAAGTAGAGGAGCCCTGTTTTGCTTTAGATTCTGACCTCTCCTTTGGCTGCTCGTTGGGCAATGCGGTTCCAAGAGACATTGTTTCCGACTGTAGACCCTTTTCTGAAGGTTGCGTGCTCTGAACTAATGGGGCATCGATGGCAGAAGATGAAGAAATGCCAGCCGTAGAAAGAGGAAAAACTGAAGAGTCACCTCGAGAACTGCCACCGCCTCCTCCACTAGTTCCAACACCACCATTGGGGTCCAAGACAGTTCAACCACCGGAACCTAAACCGTCAACAGCAGATTGTTTGCCACCATCAGAAGCAGAATTATCCAAATTGGAACCTTCACCTCTTTTAGAATCTCCAACAGAACTGCCACCGGGTCGAGTTCCATCAGATTCTGGTGATTGTGGCGGTCTTATTGCTTGGCCCGCCTGTCCTGCATGTTCTGCTGTTTTATCTCCACTGGTCAACATTTTGTCTGCTGGTGTTGGAGATGGGTTCCTTTCGTTTTCTTTTGGGCCATCGCGTTGCTGCGTTCCTTCTGAATGATCTTTTGGTTGTTCTTCTCCATCACTTCTTGTTGCCTTATCTTCCGCTTTCTTTACTTCTACTTGTTCTTCTTTTCCTGCCGCCCCACCATTATCTCTTGGTGGTTGTTTGACAGAAGTTTTTTGAGGGCTGACATTCTTTAATTTTCGCGCATCTAACGGTTCTTCTGAGGTGCTCAACACTTCACCGACTGGATTTCGTATATCCAGTTCTTCTTCATGGCCGCCCTTAGATAAAGACTCTGAAGCCCTCGATAGTTCACCTTGTAGTTCACCAACACCATCACCAAACGATACCCCCACCGCCGGCACCGCACCACAGCACGCAGAGGGCACACACCAGCAGCACACGGCCAGTCATCATCATCGCCATCACTCCCGTCACTTGCGTGTAGCTTTAAGCACAAAATAACTCCACGTCAACGCAAAAAGCAAAAGGAGAGACGGTACACAACCACACACAACCACCGCACAGTCACAAATGGCAATGCACGCACCATGAGGCAGTTAGAATCAGTACAATTGCAGAACTCACACACAGTCCCGCAAACCAGAAGTTAAAAAGCAGTAAAAAAGCACAACAACGGAGTTGACACTCCGGCAAAACTCCCAAAAAGTAAAAAAAAAAAAATCGATCAGGCACGACTTTTATTTTATTTGCCAAGCAGCACAATGTAAACGGCCACTGGTTTGTGTATACGTAATGCATGGACTGAATAAATCAAAAAAAGATCGTACTGTTCCACGAGCCCACACAACATTTCTCACACTTCATTGCGGCATCCGGCCTGTTTCTCCAATCCTCCTTTCGTGCAGTCCGTGGGACGCACAGCAATGAGGCCGGCACCGCGTGTAGGCAATGGAATGAAACAAGGGGAAGAAACACGTCACTCATGACAGTGTGCAGCAACCGACTATTGGCAGAAAAACACAGGGATGCTGATTATTCCAATAGGGTAAAAGCAGCAAAAATAAATAAAATAAAATAAAAAAAACTTAAATTGTCGACAAAACTCAGTGGGTAATGCTGGCAAGCTGCACAGCTATTTTTCCACGAAAAGCCGCAGTTCCACCCTCCCTCACACCTCAGCAGAGTGCCGCAGTGTCTCACAGCCCAAGAAGCAGAAGCAACATCACCCGAGACACACATCCATGCACGGTGATGTCACGAATTTCAGCCATGGCCAACAAGTCCGTGAAATGCCCGTGCTCACAAAAACCGTTGCTCACAAGTGATGCCGCGTCGTGCTCCGATGGGATCTCTGGTTTCCCAGACGTTGTGCGCAAATAATCCTGTGCGGCATCAGCGCCACCCGACACGTTATCACTCTTTCAACATTTGCTAGGGCCGTGCTGGGCTCAGGCGTGGCTGTTGTACCATTCAAGGGCACTAGATCACTGTTGCTGAGTGGATCGGGGTCGCTGTCCGTGCCCACGACAGTGCGGCATACGTGCCCTATTCATGCTCAACGTCTTGTTAGTTGCTGGCGACTGCGTTGGCGGTGGACGGCTCGTCGTCTCTCGCTGAGCATGCCACTGGATCCGCTGCGCTGCCAATCTGCTCCCCGGACAGCCGAGCTGCCTGTGGGGCCTCACCGCACAGCTGCTGGCAGCCTTGCATGCTCCAGCCGAGCGGAGTGTCCTGCCACTCAGCATGGCCACAGACACTTCCCAGTTCCCCGCCTGGCAGCAGCATCCCAATCGCCCACACGAGTTCCTGCTGCCAAAGACTCCCTCTCGGCGATGGAGTCGCTATGCCTTGGCCCGTTGGAGGTGCACGACGACGTCGGCGAGGGAATTTGCGCCGTACCGCATTCACTGGAGGATCGAGGTCGTACAGCTGGCTTCACATTTTTCCCATGACACTGCGGAATCCCACGCAACGTGACAGCGGACGCTGATGCCGTCATGGCACGATCCCTCCCGCAGGGCTGCGTCAATGCCTGGCACGTGGACTTCCTCACTGCAGTGAAGCGACTGTACTGAAAGAAAGTGCGGGAGGAAAAGGAAGGCGCGCACACCGCATGACAGGCACTTGACGGTGTAAAAGAAAAAAAAAACATTCCCGGTGTCCAGGCAGATATCGGGCAACGAATGAAGACTTTGTGTGCAGGTGCGATGCGACTCCTGCGCACTTTTCGTCAGGCCCGCACGCGCCCTGCAGATCACGAGTGGCCTTGTGTCGTTGGTGCCGTCCCCCCCCTCACCGAGGAGACCGGCCCGCCGCTGCCTCCGCCGGAACCTCTTCCAGACGTGAGCGCCGCCAGTCCTTACCGACCAGCGAGCGGCGGATTGGCGGCCTCCTGCCCAATCTGCGGCAGAGTGCGCTCGTCCGTCCACAATATGGAGGACACGCGCCCGACGTGCTCAGCCTTGCGTTTTGATAGTTGGAGAAGTCCTTGCACGCGGATGCTGTAATGGCCCCACCGTCTTCCTAGCAGACGCCTCGCGCGCAGGAAACACAAACGCGGGCACCGAGGATGGACTAGGCCCTTCCGCCAGCGCCCCATCACAGACGCCACGGGCTGCTGATCCCACGACGGACCACGGGAGACTCCGCTTCATCCACTGTGGGAATGCCTTCGTTGTTGAGAGTAAGGACTGCGACTGTTTGGAACTGCCCCAGCCCGCACAACGGTCAGTATGAGACTGGATACTCGCCTCGTTGCTACGGACGGCCCTTGCGCTGCTCACTCTTTACTTTAGCAGCATACAACTAAAACAAGATAAAAGGTTGCTTTGTGATGAATATTTTCTGCGCTTTCCGTGGGCCAACAATTTACGTGGTGTGCGGGGATCATTCCCTTTTTTACTGTTATTTTGCCTTTGTGTTGCTGTGTGCGCTGCACCTCCTCTTGTGTGTGTGCGTACCCTCCGTGAGGGGTGCGGCACAACGGACCGCTCTCGCCGTATGCACATGCGGTGGAGCCTTGTGTGTGTTGTTTTTTAATTTTTGCTTTTTTACTTTTTAGAACTTCT